CGTCAGAGGGCCGGGAACCACAGAAAGGTCGCCCTTCCCCGCACGTTTCGGTTCAACCATATCATTGGAATCGACCTGTTCTATCTTGACTTCCAAGGTACCACTCACCCGTTTCTGAACGTTGTCGACCACGGGTCTAATTTGCAAGTGTGTGTCCGTCTCGAGAACGCGAGGGCGGCCACGGTGTGGTCGGCTTTCTCCGCCTGTTGGATCCGTCCTTTCGGGGCCCCAGATTTTCTGATATCGGATGGAGGCCCAGAATTCGGAGAACGATTTGCCAGGGGGACTGAGCAGTGGGGGGTCCTCGACCACGTCTGCGATGCAGACAGTCCCTGGCAGAACGGCAGGTGTGAGCGCCACGGAGGATGGGTCAAGGAGCGGGTGAAGTCAGAAGTGGATGCGGGCGCCTCGGTCCCGAGTTCTCTGGAGGAATTGGACGAGCTTGTACACGAGCTCGTGGCTCACAAAAATCGCTTTTGGCACCGCGGGGGGTTCTCGCCGTTGCAGTTAGTGTTCGGTCAGCTTCCTCACGATCTTCTGAGTGACGATGTGCGGGGGATCTCAGGCTGGAGGGACATGATCAGCCCTGCGTCCGATCAAGACGCAGCCGGAGCCGAGTTCGCCCGCTCTCAGAGAGTCCGAGCTGCCGCTCGCAGGTTGGCCATCGAGGCGAATGCCCGAGACAAGATAACTCGTGCCTCGCTTGCTCGGACCCCCTCACCTAAGGAGTTCACCCCAGGCCAGTGGGTGTTTGTTTGGAGAAACCTCAGCAGGACATCATCTCGGGCAGACGCCCTGGGAAGACGCCGAGCGTGCTGGACCGGGCCAGGGGTGGTCGTGCTCTGCGAGAAAGGAGGCACCGTGTGGGTGGCAGTTCGATCTCGGCTCTGGAAATGCTCGGTGGAACAGGTTCGCCTGGCCAGTCCAGACGAAGAGTTCGGGATTCAGTTAGCGCAGAGCCCCCAGTGGAGATAGCTCCTCGCTCAGGCGCAGACCCGCCGGGCCTCTGCCGTCGACGTCCAGCGAGAGGGACCTCCGCCAGACGATGCCTGGGACGAGCCTGCCCGCCATGACGCGAGCGAGGCCCCCCAGGTCAGGGCTCCAGGTCCCGAGACGGTCGACGAGCCCGACGAGGCTCCTGTGAACCCCTTTTCCCCCCTCGGTGCTTGAGCCTCCGGGGGCCCCCCGGGTCGAGGGCCCGACTCTATCGAGGCGCGGGCCGGGAGCGAGCGTACCCGTCTGCCATCGATCGCGGAAGAGACTAGTCCTCCGGGGTTGTCTCCCGCTGAGACCCCTAGACAGGTCTCGAGTGATCAGCCCCCAGGCCTCTCGAATCCCGAGGAGGCGAGAGGGTCCTCTCCGAGTCGACCGCAGGAGAACCCAGGGCGCCTTCTTTCTTCCCCTAACCCTTCTCCTTTTCACGTGCCCGGGGCTCAGGGGTCAAGAGGCAGGCGCAGGCTCTCGCAGCCCGAGGACGTCCCAGCATGTATCAGAGCTGCCAGAGCAGCTAGCAGCCCTCCCGAGGTGAAGCGAGCGAGGATGGAGCCGGGAGAGAGCGTTCCTCCTGGTCCCTCTGCCCCTTTTTCTCCTCCTCCTCCTCCTGCTGCTGCGACTGTCCCTCCTCCGGGGAACGACGACGACCCGACGGCCCCCTCCTCCTCTTCCTCTGGCACTGGGCTGGGAGGCACGCCCGAGGGAGGTGAGGCCAGGGCCATCACCACCGGCGAGGAGCCGCGGCGCTCGGTGGCGGACCGGGTCCGCGACCTCGAGGCCGGACCCCGGGGCCCCGTCCGTGGCAGGAGCCGGTCACCACCCAGGGACCTGGCCGAGGATTTCTTCCTCCTCATCTCCTCCTCCGGCAGTGGTGGTGGGGGTGGAGTCCAGGCGATCCAGGCTTCCCAGGTCCTGGACGACTGGGCTGGACTAACTGAGGCTGACGAGAGCTCGATACCGACCTTTGCTGCCAGCCGGGGAGGCGAGGTCTCTCTCAAAAACCTCTCCCCAGCTGAGCGCGAAAAGTTTTGGAATCCATGATGGGCACCGGGGCCGTTGAAGTCATACCTCCGACGAAGGCGGACACGATCCGCAAGGCCTGTCCTGAGCGTATCATTTCGAGTCGGATGGTCCGCAGGTGGAAGCCCGTCGAGGGCACGGGATCGGAGCCCATGGCCAAATCTCGCTGGTGTGTTCACGGCCATAGAGATCCAGATTCGGGATCGCTCCAGGTGTACGCCCCCACCCCACAAACATCGAGTATCATGATGTTCGTACAGGTGCTCATGAACTTGAGCATGCTAGCAGACATCGCCGATGTCAAGAACGCCTTTTGTCAATCAGATCCCATGACCAGGACCCAGGGGTGCATTTACGTCGAGCCCTGCGAGGGTGTGAACCTCCCCCGGGGCTCTTTGATACTGCTCAAGGTGAATGTTTACGGCCTGGACGATGCCCCTGTCGCCTGGCGGAAGACAGTGATCAAGTTTCTTGAGCAGCTGGGTTTCTGTAGGAGTCTGTTGGAGCCGTGCTGGTGGGTGCGTTACGGTGACAAGGGTGATATTCTGAATATGATATTGCTCGAGGTAGACGATTTCTTCATAGGAAATTCCTCGTCTGCTTCCCGGGCCTGGTTCCGTCAGCAACTGGAGAGTCGATTCAAGTTCGGCAAGTATCGGGACTGTCACTCTGGGCCCGTGGAGTTCGCGGGGCGCAGGGTAGTCATTGGGCCTCAGAAGGCCACGCTGGACATGGAAAAATACATCCTCGAAGAAGTCAAGCCCGTGTCCATGAATAAGGGCCGTCTGTCCAACAAGAACTCCTCCCTGGACCAGTCCGAGTTCTGGGCCCTGCGTTCCTTGGTGTACAAGTTTCACTGGGTGGGCAGGGAGACTCGTCTGGAGGCCGCTGGAGTCGCGTCCATCCTGGCCAGTCGTCTTCGAGCCGCGACTACTGGTGACGTGGCGCTCGCCAACAAGTTGGCAAGACATCTGAGGGCTACGGCCTCGAGAGGCCTGACCGTGTGGAAGCTGGACCCGAGTCAGATGGCATTCGTCACCTTCTCCGACGCCGGTGGCGTAGGCGCGTTCGACGGGTTGGTGGATGATCGTGGTTTGCCCGAGGACCCGACCCAGGGGGCCTGGATGGTGTGTGCGACAGACAAAAGCATCATCGAGAATCGGTCAGTGCGAGCCTCAGTCCTAGGGTGGCGCAGTTCCAAGCTCCGCCGCAAAGTCCCATTCACGTTGGCCGGTGAGACACAGGCACTAGCAGCAGCCGTCTCAGAGGTCGAGTATCTCCAGATTTTGTAGCGTGATATAATTTTCCGTGACGTGGACATCAGCGATCATCATAGAGGTGCAAGCCCGTTTACCACTGTTCTTCGGAGCAACTGTCGTCTCGGGGCTCGCGAGCCCCAGGTTCACGTGGTGGACGCCAAGAGTATATACGACACCATGTTGAAAGAGGGCAATGCGAGCGCTCGGGACCGCCGCACTGCTATAGATTTGGCCATTATCTGTGAATCTCTCGAGCGAGCCCGTGGTCATGTGAGATGGATCCCGCACGGACGCATGCCGGTGGACACCCTCACAAAAGATGACGTCACGAAGGCCAATGCAGCTCTCTTCGATTTGATGGTGAGCGGCCGACTCGTCCTGGTGGACGAAGGCGAGGAGGTCGAGCGCCGCAGGAAGACTCCAGGTCTCAAGAGCAGGACACAGGCGGCCTCCAGAAAAGTCCTGGACGGCGAGTTCATCACCTGGCACGAGTTCCTGGCCCAGGACGGTGGTGGTGGTGGTGGTGCTTCTCCTTCCTCCTCTCCCGTCCTTCTGCCATCCGACCCTTTCCAATGGTCTGTACTCTCTGTTTCAACCCTTTACTTTGGGGCAGTCTGTAAGGTGACTGCGAGCTGTCCGGCATGACTGTCAGACAGCTGGGGCTGCAAAACCTAGGAGAAAGTTCTACCTGTGTAACAGGAGAGCAGATTTCACGATATAGGTTTTGCATTTAGTTTATCACTCCAGAGCGTCTCTCGTAACTTGACGCTTTGGCTCAAGGGAAAAGCATATGCGTACCTTGCTGCTGCCACAAGGAGCCACAAGTACGTTGATTCGTGGTGCTGAATTCCCAGGAATGGCTTTCTGGCGCGATTCAAGATCGTCAAGACGCAACAGTCAGATTGATCCGTGGCGTTGGAGTCCCGAGAATAATGTTCTGGCATTCTTCAGGGCCTTCAAACGGTTGTCTTCCAACGAGGCGGTTCCTTCAGTGGAAACAAACCGTTGTAAGGGCCTATGAAGAGGGCGCTTGGAGGGAGGGTTTATTCCAATATCGTTGATGACTCTTGGGTTTACACTGGTCCTCCTCCTCCTCCTGGATCTGAGGAGTAGGCGCACGCGAACACGGATTCGGGATCTGTGGAACTGGAGCGCGGGAGCCATGTTCCACGGATTGGGAAACAGAGTCCCCGAACCACGGAAGCATGGCCTGAGTTGGCGACGGTAGCGCGCCGAATTGGTATGGAAGCGGGACCCGTGGTGAGTTCGCACACCTTTATCCACGGTTGCGCTTCCTCGACCCTGGCGGGTCGGACGAGGTTGGTGAAGACATGAAGTAGGAAGACGGTGGCAGATTAGGTTTCCACCAGCCCCCTGGGAAGTAGGGAAAAGACATATCGCTCGACAGTAAACAAGATAGAGGCCTCCTAGATGGAGTCGGAGTAGATGGAGTCGGGGGATCGCGCCGCTTCGCCGATACATCGGCGATGCATCGGTGATGCATCGGCGACGCACCGGCGAGGCGTCGTCGGCGGCGGCGATGCATCGGCGACGGCAACGTGAAGCCGATCGGGCCCCACATCGAGCCGCATCGGCGATGCATCGGCGATGCGGCGCGATCCTCCGACCCCATCTACTCCGACCCCATCTAGGAGGCCTAGAACCGATCCATGTGGACCACGGCCATCTCCCGGGGAGGGAGGAGGAGGGCAGGGACGGCGGCTCGGCCTGAGGCCGCACCCCGCGGGATCCCTCTCCAGCACCTCGGGGGAAGGGGGGGAAGCCGCGGGGGCAGGACGCAGGATGAGGAGGGAGCCGGGAGGAGCGAGGATCGGAGGGGGCGGGATACAGTAGGAGCGCGACCACAAGAAACCTTCCACAAGAAACCCAACCCTTGAGACCCCAGGACTTCCAGTGATCTTTGGCGTGGGAACGTCACGCTTCCCATGGCAAAACCATCGAAACCCAGGAAACCCAGGGCACCCTGGAGGCAAGCAGGGTCTGTCCTGGCCTTTGTTCTCCACTGCAGCCGAGGGGCGAGGATCGGAGGGGACGAGGATCGGAGGGGGCGGGGCGAGGACAAGGAAGCCGGCAGGGTCAGGGGAAGGGATCGGGGCGGACGGACGGGGCGGACGGCCCTTGAGAGGGGGGGGTAGCGGATCGCCTAAAACGTATGCAATGGCAGGTCTCCGCGGCTCCTCCCGGCGCAACATGCGTGGGAGCCCGGCGGCGGGGCGGACGGCAGCTGCAGGCAGCAGGTGTCGTACCCCGGTTTGCCCAATCCCCCCCTGTCGTCCGACCCGAAGGGGGGAGGAGGGACACGAGAGGCGGCAGGACGATACACAGGGAGGCCCAGGGGGAAGTGTGAGTAGGACTTGAGGGATACGAAGGGGGAGGAAAAGAGGAGGCGGGTGGACGAATGGAGGACGAGGGAAGTTGAGGGAAGGAGGCGCGGGAGGGATGAAGGGGAAAGGGAGGGCGAAGAGGAACAAAGGGAGGGACGGTGGGAAGAAGAGACAAGGAGGATGGGGAACAAGATGAGGGAGAGAGGAGGGAGAGGGGAGGGATGAGGAGGAGGAGGAGAAAGAACACAACGAACTGTGATCCATGTCTGCGCAACGTCAAACAAAGAGGAGGAGGAGGAGGAGGAGGGGGAGGAGGAAGAAACAGGAGGGATACGACAAGACGTAATACCAGTATGGAAGAAGGGTGAGGAAGATGATGGGTAGGGAGGAGGGGACGGGGTAAGTAAGGAGACGCAATGGATGGACGATGAGGTGATAAGGTGAATAAGGAAAGGAGATAAGGATGGACCTGTGAGGTCGAGCTGGGAACACCAAAGCAAAAGCAAAAGAGTAGAACCCCAGGCAGGAGTGGTCTGTGTGCGCGGCTCGGCCCCCCGCGCCATCCCCGAAGGCCGCGCGCCGAGGGCCACCCGGGCGAACGGTCACTCTCACGCCCGATGTTGCCGGCGAGCGAGGGGGAAACGAGCGGGAGAGGGCCCTCTCAGCAGGCGGCCCGGCTTCTGGCCCTGCGCCTTTCTGAGAAGCAAATCTGTGTCCTCGGGAAGGTGTAAGGAACTTCTCAGAAGGCCGGGGGACTTCAGAGCCTTCTGAGAAGGCCCGCCCCTCCTCAGTTCCCTCCCTCGGTCGCCGCCAAAATTGTAGGGTGGCACGTACTAGGGGGCGACATCCAAACCCGACCCCCGCCCAGCGCCGGTTCTCCTGAATCGACGGGAGCAAAGGTGGGGGTTCGGAGTTTGCCACCTGTGCGACGAATTCCGGCCCGTAATCCAGCCGTCCATCGAGTTGCCTAAATCGTTGATTGGCGAGGACAGGGTTCGGATTTTTTCGCCGCCGAGATGGGTCATGTTCGCGCCTGGTGTAAGATGGCCATGAAGCGCATAACGCGGGGAACTATGTTTCTAAGATAGACTGCTGGCGCCCAGGGATATTATGGAGAGAGCAAACCAAAGACGTTCAATGACGCGGCGCGCCCAAAATAGGTAAGGAAAGTTTTGGGTACAATGCTGTGATGATGTTGCGTGTTAGCGCAATGACAAAAAGGGGCCCCAAGAGGCCAAACGGCAGCGAATGGTGCACATACACACATGACACGTGCACTATCTCACACCCGTGAAACTTTATCACGAACTAGCCGTCCGACCGCGCAGTACCGCTGGTCTCAATAAGCATCTAGGGGCAGTAATAAGGAGTATTCCCATGTTGGAATTAGTCAAGTCAAAAGCAGCCAGGCCCCAGTCACCCACTTCCCCGATGGGATAGCATTCATCCTGGCCCTCGCCAATTGCTTCTTGACCTTCCTGAAGGTAGATGCAAGGTCTGGAGTGACGACACACGAACTTGCACGTACGATCTTAGCAAGGAAATCCGTAGGCAGATTCTTCGTCAGACAATCAACAGCCATAATACTTGTATCGACCCATCGGGTTTTATAACAAATTATGGGCGGACGCAAAATGTCTACCTCTTCCGTTCCATTCGTCCAAATATCCTGTCTTACACAACTCACGCGCTTATCCTCTGTCTTATTACGAGACCTATGTTGCTTCACATCACCAATTTGGCCCCTGCTGACTTTTTTCCAAAATAATATATTGGGATGAAACGCTGCCGCTAGATATATCAAGCACAGGTGATCACAACACAAACGCTCCTGCAAGAAATGGTAAGCTCAGATCCGCATGGCTACATTGCAACCGAACCGCTTGACCACCATCTCGACCGAACTGGCGGAATTCGACCACGCGTCCGACAAAATGCGTTCGACGAGGGATGCGCTGCACAATGCCCCGGCCACGGGCAGCGCTACGAGGGAAAGCGGGCCCTTCGAGGTGTCACTTTCAGCGCCCGTGAAAGTGACACCTCCCAGGGCCCACTTAAAGAGCACCAGAAAGGCTCCAAGAAGGCCCCGAGAAGGCCCCAGGGCGGCACCAAGAGGGCTCCCAGAGGGACCCAAGAGAGGCCCCAAGAGGGGCCCAAGAGGGCCCTCCGCGGTGTCACTTTCAACGCCCGTGAAAATGACGCCTCCCAGGGCCCACTTAGGGCCTCAGAAAAGCTCTAAGAAGGCCCCGAAAGGGCCACAGAGAGCCGCCCTGGGTTCAACTCCGCGTGGCGGAGTTGGAAGCGATAACTTCAATACCCCACTGGAGGCCTCTTAGGGGCCCTAAGACGGCACTGAAGAACCCAATGGGGGCTTTTTCAAAGGCAGAGGAGGGCGCAAAAATTGGCATCAGTGAGCCCCTGGTCTAACTCCACCTGGCGGAATTAGAAGCGATATCGCCCGGCGCCTTCATGGAGCCGTTCGGAGCTTCCAAGACGGCTCCAGAAGGCCCCAGGAGGGCCCCAAGAGGATCGAACGACGATTCCTGGAAGTGCACCAGTGAGACCCTTGTTGACCTCCGCCTGGCGGAGTTGGAAGCGACAATTTCCAGTGCCCTCTTGGGGCCTCTGGGGGGCCCCTCAGAAAGCTTTGGGGAGCACAGTGAAGGCCTTCGCAGGGCCGCGTGAGAGCCGTACCAGGGCCGCATGTGTGCGCGGATGGGGGCGACGAGTGCTGACGCTGACGAATATGAGACTGATGAGGGCGATCAAGGCTGGCCCGAAACAAATCCTGGCGCCATTGCAGGCCGCCGATTATCGGCCACGCCGCCAGGACGACGCCAAGCAACAAAACGGCACCAACCAACAAAACGACACCAACCAACAAACCAACAAATCGACACCGACCAACAAAAGGACACCAAGCAACAAAACGACACCAAGCAACAAAACGACACCAACCAACGAAACGACACCAACCAACAAAACGGCACGAATCAACAAAACGGCACTGACCAACCAAACGACAAATCACTTCACGACACCAATGAACAACGCGAAATCCACCGACCGCCAACCAAACATAAAATCAACCGACACAACGAAACCAACCCATAGAGCCAGACCAACCACTGGATTCGTGAGTCGGGGTAATCATGGAAGTGAGCCGCTGAAGCCCGCGGAAGCCATTGACAGTGACCAGAGCACCGCAATGCAGCAGCGTCCCCGGGCGGCGGCGGGAGTCTCGGATCTCCCGCGGGACTGGAGCGTAGCGAGTTCGTCCTGGGTCCGGTTTAGTGAAGAATTTCGGGGTGCTTGGCATGGCAAAAACCTTCACTTCACTAATCTGGGGCCCCTGGAACCCCCGGGCGTTTCAGGTCCCCTCGCTGTCTGGGTAGTCCAGGGGGCGCAGTGGCGGCTTACCAGAGGCCCTGTTCCCTAGCCTCACTTGCTTTCGCCCGTGGTGTTCGACGGCCGTCTCGGAGCTGTCTTGTGGCGGTTTGGGCAATCCCGAAGCCTCTTGGAGCCATCCCAAGGCCCCAAGGCGCCACCAAGGGGGCCCCAAGAGAGCTCCCAGAGGGCCCCGAAAGGCCTACAACAGATTGCACGTGCGCAAATTCTTTGTACCACTTTGGGGGGTCCCTCTTGGGGCCCTCGGGGAACGTTCTTGGGGCCCTCCGGGGGCCCACTGGGGCCCCGGGAGGGCCCCAAGAACGCTCCCAGAGGGCCCCAAGAATGCTCCACGAGGGCTCCAAGAGGACCCCCACAAGTGGCAAAAACTATTTGCATGAGGGTGCAACTTATTCGGCGCCTCTTGGGGCGCTCTTGGAGCCGTGCTGGGCGCCACTCGTGGACGACATGGGCTGGGCGACGGCATGTGCACCCTGTCGTTTGGGCCATCGCGGGTGCTCCCCAATGGGGCCACGAAGCGTGTGAGCGTATGACGGAATGGGCTGGGCGGCGGCCTGTGGGCCCTGCCTGTGGGGCCGTCGGTGCAGCTCCCCGTGGGGCCACGAAGCGTGCGAAACGTATGCCGAAATATGCTGGGCGGCGGCCTGGGAAACCTGCCGCTGGGACCTTTTTTGGGTGGAGCTGCCTATGGGGGCACGAGATGTTCGAGGGTGTGTCAATGTGGCCTGGGCGACGGCATGTGGACCATGCCGCCGGGACCTCCGATGGGCTCCTCATGGGGACACGAAGCGTCTGATGGGCGTGCCGACATGGGCTGGGCGGCGCACTAAGGACCCTGCCGATGGGGCCTTCGGTGGAGCACCTCACAAGGCCACGAGACTTGCGGGGGATGTGGCGAAGCAGAGACGCGGGGGAACAAGGGGGTAGCATTGACGATGGAGACGACGAGAATGCTGATGATGCTGATGATGATGGTGATGGCGACGATGACGATGGACGATGACGACGGG